AAAGTTCTCGGGTTTTGGGCATTTTAAAAAAAATTATATTTGAATACAAGAAGTTCGTAGCTATGCAGAAAAAAAAATTGACTCAATTTTATGCATTAGATCACAAGTTATAATCGGCAAAAATCACGCCAATTAGTATAACGAAAATTACGTGGTCCAATACTTTTGACCAGGGAGTGTACATACATAACACTACATGTTAAAAATCAAAGCAAAATTATTTTGTCTTGTTCAGAGCCTTTTAATTTCACTTCAGACGTTGATAATAGTATTACAGCTCGTTATGGCCAGACCGCTAAAGTAAAAAAAAAAGTTTTACCTAGAGCGTTCTTAGAGCGCTGATTGGTTAATATCATTATTAAATTTCTTCTTTTTACACGTGATTTTGACCAGCATTATGCAGAATTATGTATTTAGTTGAAAATCAACAGCATAGCGGACATGCCTAATTATATCACAATTTGCATATGGTCTAATTTCACTTATCTTCGATTTTATCACCTAGATAAATAACGTGATTATCACAAATTTAAATATTCGCAGATTAGATAGATAATTAGATAAAGCCAGTTGTCCATTTATTGCAAGCTTTGTTTTAAACTTTTATGACTTATCAAAAATTACTTGTTTATGAAAGAAATAAACATTTATATAATAAAACAATATCCCATTTTCATTTGCTTCCTTAACCCTCTTCAGAACAAATATTTTATTACGTTAACTCTTTTATTGTTCTTATTAAAAAAAACTTGGTTTTTCTAGACATGCGGTTGGAAAGAAATATTTTTCTATCGAAACTTTTTTGGAAAATGTATTTGTGTTTCTTTTTAAAAATGAAGAAAAATTCAAATACAGCCCTGCAAAGCATAAATACCAATGTTATTTTGAAGGATTTACAGAAGCAACTAGACTTAAAGAAATATTTCGTTATGATCATTAAAACTCCTAAGAGAATTCCCTTACTAATACTAAGGAATATGTTTTACTTGAAGATTATGATAATACATATCAAGTTAAATTTATGTGGAATCAAACAACATTATCAGAAAATAACAGAGAGTTCACATTAGGAAGAATGACCTATAATTTTATTGCTAATTCTGAAAAGTTTCAAGAGAAGTATGTACTATATAATTTTAGAAAATTAATACAAGTTTAAAATGAAATGTTTATTTTTAATATAGTAATAAAGAACAAATACCAATATTAACTAATAATCAAAATATGCCTGAAAAACTTATTAGAGGAAAGTTTCGCTATATTTTACCATGTTTACCATTTTAGGTTATAAATCAATATAATTAGTAAATGTAAATTCTACTTTCTTAATCTTTATTTTCTTTATCTTCTGCATTAATATTTCGCATCTGAATTTCTTTTGAAATATTATTAAGCAAATAATATAATTGACAGTTTCCAAATTCTATTATATTTTATACAATAGATTTCACCTTATTCCTATCACTTATAGTATTACCAAAAAATAGTCAAACCTAAATTAAAATAAGGTAAGTATAGAAAAAATTATGTTGAGTAATTTATTTATTTACCTAGTTATGGTTCTTTTTTTTAATGCTTAAAGTAAAAAAAAACTGTAGTGACAAATTTTTTCTTTTTAGATTTTATAAAAATTCAGAAATATGTTATAAAAAAATATACATACAGTATATGAAGTAACATCTTTTTTTCTGTATAAACCTGATATTTGTGATAAAAAATTTATCTGACCTTGATTTGGCTAACAAAACAAATAAATTCATTCTTTTACTTTAACTTCAAAATCATCAATTTCAGAATCTGTGAGGGTTAGTTGTCTTATAATTATATATAAATCATAAAAATTATGCTAAAGCTTTTGAATATCTTCACTATATTCTTCTGAAATAAAATCAGTAACTGAAAAATATTATAAGACTTTTTTTTTGTTAAGTCCCACACTTGTGAAATAGTCCAAATCAACTAAAATCAGATAGCTAATTTTAGGTTGATTTTGATACTATTTATGACTAATTTGTTATATTTTCTGATTAGCACAAATAGGTACCGATAGACACTGATTGACTCTAATTGGATATGATCATTTAACATCAATTTAGAATTCAAATTTAACTATAAATCAGCTTAAAATTAGCTTCAATTCAGCAATAATTCAAACGCTGATAGATGCTGATTAATTTTAATTAGACATAGCTATTCACTATCAATTTGAAACTTAAATTCAACTATAAATTAACTTAAAATTAACCTTAATTTAGCATTATTCAGCATTAATTCAGAACTTAAATAATTATAAATCAGCCTAAAATTGATCTCAATATAGTATCATTTAGCATCAATTCAGAACTTAAATATCTATAAATTAGCCTAAATTGATCTCAATTCAGTATCATTCAGCATCAATTCAAAATTTAAATAATCATAAATCAGCTTAAAATTAGCCTTAATTTGATATTAATTCGATCAAATAAGCATATAAAATTAATATATATTTATTAAATTTATTAAATATTAAAATTTTATTAATAATAAAACCTAATATAATTCACAAAAACATAACATAAATATTACCAAAACCTACTGATTAATTTTCTATATAAAAAATATAAGCAAAAAGCAAAAAAATTATATAAAATAATAAAAATATAATCCATTTTCCTCCTAAAATCTTCTTAAATCATCCTAAATATTAATTATAGTAATATTGCCATTTTTGAAAAAAAAAAGAATAAAAATCAAAAAAATTGATTAAAATTCAACTTAAATTTCGTTTGATTTGATGGTTAGAGGCATATTTCTATTATAAAAAGTAAAAAAAAATCAGAAAAATTGACTAAAATTCAACTTATTTTTTATCTGATTTGATAGTTAGGAAATATTTTTATTATAAAAAATAAAAAAAATCAGTGTTTTTTGTATATTTTTTGAAAAATTGATTAAAATTAAACTTAAGTTTCGTCTTATTGATAGTTAGAGGCATATTTCTATTATAAAAAGTAAAAAAATCAGAAAAATTGACTAAAATTCAACTTAAATTTTGTCTAATTTGATAGTTAGAGGCATATTATTATTATAAAAATAAAAAATCAGTTTTATTTTTGTATATTTTTTGATATTTAAGATATGATAATTGCATCATTTTTTAAGAATGATAATACTATTATTTCTTAGGTATGATAAAACTATTGTATCTAAAGAATGATAATACCATTGTATTTAGATATGATAAAACTATCATCCCTAAGAAATGATAAAACTATTGTATCTTAAGAATAATAAAATCATTATATTTAAGATACGATAAATGTATCATTTCTTAGGAATAATAATACCAGATATGATAATACTATTGTTTCTAAAGAATGAAATACTATCATTTCTAAGAAATAAAATATTATCATTCTTAAGGAATAAAATACTAGAGTTCTGGACAAGTCGAGTTAACTCACGAGTCAGATAAGTTAAGTTAAGTTTAAATAAAATTGAATTTATATTTTTTTGACTTGATAATTTGCGAGTCAAGCCAAATTCAAGTCGAGTTAAATATTTAACTCAACTCAATTTAAACTTGACTTGATTTGAGTTGATTCAAATTGACTCAAGTTGATTTAAAATAGTATTATTTTTAGGAATGTTAAAATCCAGTCCAGTCCTAATCTGATCCTGAAACTCCCAGTCTATAGGACTTGGGTCCTAGGATTAGATTCTAGGATCAAATTCTAAAACTGCAGTTCTAGGATTGCAATCCTATAGAAAAATAATCATTTAAGAAGAACGATAAGAAATCATTTAACTTGAACGATAAAAAAAATCATTCAAAAAGAACGATAAGAAATCATTTGACTTGAATGATAAAAAAATCGTTTAAGAAAAATGATGAGAAATTGTTTGACTTGAACAATAAAAAATCATTCAAGAAGAATGATGAAAAATCGTTCAAGAAAAACAATAAGAAATTGTTCAATTTGAACGATAAAAAAATCATTTAAGAAGAACGATGAGAAATCGTTCAAATTGAACGATAAAAAATCATTCAAGAAGAATGATGATAAATCGTTTGACTTGAACAATAAAAAAATTCATTCAAAAAGAATGATGATCCAAATTGTTCACTTCTCTCCTCTTCTAATCTTTTCATTTTTTTTTATTATTTTTTTTCAAAATCAAATCGAGTTAAAATCAAGTCAAGTTAAATTGAGTCAAGTTTAAAATTTATATAATTCGAATTAAATCAAATTGAAAGATTTTATAAAATAAATTTAATTTAATTCAACTCAAAAAAAGAGAGTCAAATAAAATTAATCTTTAAACTCAACTTGACTCAACTCATTCAAAACTTTACGAAATACTATCGTTTCTAAGAAATGATAATACCTATTGTATCTAAAGAATGATAAAATTATTATTCCTTAAAAATATAAACTATTGTATTTTAGATATGATAAAATTATCATACCTAAAGTACGATAAATGCATTATTTTTTAAGAATGATAATATCATCATTCCTTAGATACGATAAAACTATTGTATTTAAGAAATGATAAAACCATCATACCTTAGGAATAATAAAACCATCATACTTTAGGAATGATAAAATCATCATACCTAAGGTACAATAAATGTATCATTCCTTAGGTATGATAATATCATTGTTTCTAAGAAATAATAATATCTATTGTATTTAAGGAATGATAAAATCATTATTCTTTAGAAACGATAAAATCATTATTCCTAAGAAACAATAAAATTATTATACCTTAGGAATGATAAAATTGTCATACATAAGGTATAATAAATGCATCATTCCTTAAGAATGATAATATCATTGTTCCTTAGGTATAATAATACTATCGTTCCTAAGGAACAAAATACCATCATTTCTGAAAAATGATAATACTATTGTATTTAAGAAATAATACAATCATTCCAATCAAACGTTAATCAGTTATAAATAAAATAAGTCAAATTTTGATATATACTAATTGGCTATAACTATGCTAATCAGCTATAAATAAGATAGATTAAATTTTAGCTAATTCTTAGCCAATTTCTGATATATGCTAATCGGCTAAGCTGATTTTTGATAATTTGTTGAATTTAGGCTGATTTTAGGCTGATTTTTGCATGTCTAATTTTTTTGATTTTGACTAGTACCATCAATAAAGTCTAATTTCATTTTTTATCATATGATTTTGACTTAAAAATTTAAAGTATATCTTAATAGATTTCATAGCTTGTTCAATTTAACTTTTGATTAATTATTCAAAATCTTTTTTTTTTTGAATAAATCATTAAAAAAAACATTCTATTAATACATCTGAGATATGTAAAGTCATGTAACTTCGATTTTTCAGTTCACATCACCTGATCAGGTCACTTTTTCAAATTTTAACAAAAAAAGGTTTATATATAAAAAGTTTATTATGTGACTATAAATGTAATTTTATTGGTAAATTAAAGCTTTATTGTATTATTATTATATATAATTCCTTTCTTACAATTCATTAGTTTCATATAGCTTTCTAGTTAGATGA